GGGTCATTGCTTCCTTTAATTAAAGAATAATGCCTTTGCCTCACCCATCGAACATTCATTTATCTTTTTAGTACAAATGTATCTGCTTTTATTTGATGATCCCTGCAGAAGCATTTTCTCCTAACAAAACAACAACCTGGAATATGTGTTTCTCAACAGTGACGTCTGCTAAACGTTAGCTGTTGAATGCTTTAAAGAAAACACAAGTGAAATGTGAATTTTAAAAATGAAGCAATTTTATGTTTTATATCCAGTTTTTGTAAAAGTTTTGAGTAGGGATATCCTGATCAGGTTTGTTATGCCCTCAAGTCCGAGTCTGAGTCATTAGATTTTGAGTCAACCGATACCGAAACCCGATCCTACACCTCTATAATACATAAGAATAGAATAGAGAGAAGTAACAGATCCAGGATGTTCCTTAATTTTAATTAAATTTACCTTATTTTAACATTCAACAATGCTGTTAGCATACAGAGCACTTCTGTGAGGTAGCTTGAACAATCAAGTAATAAATAACATAAATTATTTACCCTTGGACTGTAGTGCTAGAGAAAATATAAAATCTAATATAAAAACAAATAGCACCCAAACTAAAAAAAAAATGGTTGGCAGATCCCAAGTTTACTTATCTCAGTTTGCTATGGCAATGTTGTTGTCATCAACTTTATAACACATCCAGACCGCAGACATACTCACACTTCCGCTTCAAGCTGCTTCTGTGTTTTTCTTTGCTGCCATTTTCCCAAAGGCGTCTCTGCAATAAAGTGATGTCCTGCCGCATGCGTAGCTGTTTCAGTGTGAAGTCAAGAAAGAGGTCTACCTCTGTGCCATCGCATAACTATAGATTTTTTTAAATAATTAGAATATATATATATATATATATATATATTAGTGCTGTCAATCGATAAAAAAATTAACTAATTAATCACACTTTTTTTTAATCAAATGTGATTAATCACATTTAAAAGACTAAAAACTTGTAATTTTGGCTATCCAAATGTAAAATTAATGTAAACGCAAGACAAAAACTTTTTAAGTTCAACATATATTTGTTTATTAGAATTTTTGTTTAACTTGTAACACAGATTTCTTCATGTAACCAACATACCCACAATAAACCATCAAGATCCTGGCTTGACAGCCATATTTATTACAGAAATTGAAACACAGGCATGTTAATGCCATTTGAATTTCAAAACGATCAATGCCAATAAAGTAACAATTTCCAAGTTGGATTCTAAGTGAACTGCAAAAAAATTAAAAATAAATAAATAAAAAGCCAAAATACAGGCATTGCAGATATGGAAAATTATAATAACAATAAAGTATTGAATACAAACAATTTTACTCATTTAAAAGTTGTATTGCTCTAAGTTGAGAACATTAATTATGAAGTAGAAACAACTTTGCTTAGTCCTCCTTTACATTCAGCCAGTTGCAGTCTGTTGACATTATCGAAAATGTGGACCCCTGTCCTGTGGAACGCGTGTAGGACAGGGCAGCCAGAGCGACTCCATTCAGATTCAACACGCATGATCGCGTTCATCAAATTTGCTTATCCTAAGCGTTCTAAAGTATGGCTATATTTTTTATAAGGATTCTGACACAACAACACGAAGCAGGAGCTTTACAAAAGTCGAAACAGGTCAAACTTAATGAAACATTGGAGTGCTTATGCTGAAAGGCAGAGGAATAGGCTGTCTTTGACAGCTTGCGACTTCATCTGGCACTTTCTGAGTACATTTACATGGACACCAATACTCCGATTTTGATATGATTAAGATAATACTCTTATTAAGAGTCTACCATGTAAACAGCGCTTTTTGATTATCATAAAGGACCACCGAGTCACGAAATGCTGAGGTTTTTCTTTCCGTTCGCCATGCGGTATCAAATTCCATTTAAACAGAAGTCGAAAGTTAAAAATGGAACACCCGAAATTGCATGAAACTCTATAGGAAACGCTGGAAAGTCTGGTGATGCAACATTAATTGTTTTATTCTAAAACTTGCTTTTAAAACGTGCTTCCTTGGAATTATTTCATCCATATTTCTTTGCATATTGAACACACATTTACCACTTCAGGAAATAAAAAAATAAAACTGCAACTTCAATAATTTTTTTAACCCATTAAATATTGAAAATTAATCGTATGTGTAACACACTAATTTTGACAGCACTAATATATTTTTTGAGTTGTAAAATGCTCTCTGTCCTATCCCAAGTTTGTTTGAAACTGTCTTGGGGCTGAAAATGCATAAAACTGAAAAAGGGCTGCAAAGTGGAAGTTTTTGAGGTCAAACTTTATTTTGATGGTCCGTTTGTTGAAATTAAGTTTCATTGCATTTACATGCAAACCAATACCTATTAGATTTTAAGTAGACTGTTAGGTTAGGGTTAGTCTTTCTTATAGTCAGTTAAATGTCTAGTTTTAGTCCTATTTTTTATGTATTTTGAAAAGTTTGTTATTTTCGTTTTAATAGTGATGAACAAATTTTCATAAACACAATGAACCTTTTTTTTGCTGTGAATTTAAATGCTTGTTTACTTTGGTTTTAGTCTAACTTTGCTTCATTTCCCAGAGGATGGTAAAATATTTCCTTCTTAATAAGCACATCTATTCGCCCTGTTCATTTACGACCCTAAGAACAGGCAGGGGATTAAATATAAATCATCATCATTATGAAATTGCTTGTGTTGCACCTCAACCTGGAAGCACTCTCTGTTGGCCGAAACAAATGAGACATTAGGGTTGGAGCGTTACGCTTCAGCCTCCGTGATGCAGTCTCTCTGTGAAAAGAGCCCTTGAGAATACACCAGCGACTTTGTACATACTCATGACCTGGTTGTTATTATTATTCTTGAGACGATCACAGGGAAGTGTTGAAAGGTTGGCGCAGCTGTGAAAAACGTCAATGATTCGCTCTCGCTCCTAGGCTATTAAACGTCACTGAAAGCTGTGGTTTCTGGAGTTGTTTAGACTAACACCTTTTACAACAACCGGGAGAGACCTGTTAAAGTTTGTGAGGGGTGTGCTTGCTTAAATGCAATCTTGGACATTGAGGATACCATATAAACATGTTAGAGGGCCATTTTACTTGCTTCCGTCTTGCCTCCCGGAGATCCCTTCCTCTCAAAGGAGTTTGATAATGATAGAGACTTGCTTCTGTTTCGACAGTGTGTCAGAAAGAGCTAATCTGTACTGTAATGTCATGCAAGGAAGTCCTACATAGCCAGATATAAGACTTGAATAGTATTGACCTTAAAAATGATTTAAAAATAGTTTAAAATGTTTTTTATTCCAGACAAACTAAAAGAAATAAGACTTTCTACAGAATAAACTAAATATTATATGAAGTATTATAAAAATGTCTTGTTAGACATAACTTGGAAAATATTTTAAAAAAGGCTAATGATTTTGCCTTCGACAGTATCTAGTCTGCAGTCTCGAATATGCTTTGTAATCAAATAGTCGTAACAATTTTATTTAGCTCATGTTGCTTCCAGTGAAGGGCCATATTGTGCAAATGAATCTATGTTACTACATTATAATCAGATGCCTAGCGTATTCATCTAAACCCCTCTCTCAGCAGCATGAGTGTTTGGATATTTGTTATAAGTGTGTTGCAGCAAAGTTATTCCAACTTTTTAATTCTATTCAAAGAATAAAAAAGAACTTTGTTGTGTATCACACCATATGGTGATGACCCTAATGACAAGGGTTTGTAAATTGTATTGGTCACATATTTGCTTTGGATGTTTGTTTTTTTTTTAAATCGGGATTGGTATCGGTCTTGGAGTAAACAATTTCACAACCCTTTTTAAACATGTTTGTACAACAATGTATCGTTATTTGTTTTTAACCTTTTAGCAAAAAAAAATCTTAAAAATCAACAATTTTAAAGTATACATTGAATTACTGCTTGTTTAGACTAGATTGTATGATTTTTGGCATGGAATTTTGGTATTTGTTTGTTTAATCTTTGTGGATAGATACTCAAGTTTTATTTTAGTCTAAAACATTACAGTCTGAAATGTGGAATGTATTAAAATTAAATTAAGCAAATTTCGAATTCTAAAAGATGGTGTTTCATGTCAATCTACAGCCAGGGTTCTCAACCTTTTTTACTGCGGGGCCCACTTCTTTCTCCAATCAAATTTTGAAGGCCCACCTGTCTGACATTTTCTCTAAAATGTTTGTATGAAATGCTCATTTACACCTTTATTATATTATATTATATTATATTATATTATATTATATTATATTATATTATATTATATTATATTATATTATATTATATTATATTATATTATATTATATTATATTATATTATATTATAATAACAAATATATATTTTACATTTAATTTGGACAACTATGCAGATATATTAAATAGTTCACACAAAAATACACAGAGACTTTTACTTTCACTTCACACATTTTTTTTTAAATGAACAGACTTGCGTGTTCTAGTTGCAGACGCGATCATGAGGCTGTTTTTGCACCGAGTTTGAGATAATCAACCAGAGAACAGAAGAAAGTGCATTACTTCGATCATTTTAATATAGTGTATTATAAGGCAATCCAAAAATGATAATATAATATTAAGAGTTATTTTTGATCTCGCAGCCCACTTGCAGGATCGCTGTGGCCAACCGCTTGAGAATCCCGGATATACAATGCTTACTACTTAACTCTATATTTAAATATTTTCACTGACAACCTTTTTGTTTATTCATTTATTTATTTTATTTTTTTACCTTGTACTAATTCTCCGTCTCTCTTATCAAAATCCACTCTCTGTCTTGTCAGATCATTTAATTGCCGTTTCATGTTTTTTATAGTAATAAGTGAGACGATAAACAAACAAAATAAGCCCTGATAACATGATGCTAAACCTAATGTTTGGGTAAATTCAAAAATGTTATTGAAATGATAATGTTGTTTGTTCGTATAAAACTGTGAACTGAGTGTAAAGTGTCTTTTATTTCTCTTGACAGGAGTGGCAGAACTCCATCCAGAAGAACGCAGGTTTGGCCTTCATTGAGCTGGTGAACGAGGGCAGGTAATTATCTAATCCCGTCCTCAGAGCGTTTGTTAGCAGCCTCTTCATTATCTCCCAGCCTGCGACAACACGTCGCGTGTGTACGAACAGATCCTGTTTGTGAGGAAATCAATGTAATGTGGAAAGGGGATCAACAGGGTGACCTGGAGTTCAAGGCGTCTGTCAATAACTTGGCTTCCCATGTGTTTCTGAGAGGGCAGCAGAGCCTTAGTTTCTTGCCCACCTCTTGGGAAATCTTTCCCGTATCTTGCCATTTTCAGATGGGTTTATGTCTCATCTGTTGGACTCTTTTACTCAGACTCCCTTTGGGATAGAAGGGTCTGTCTTCAATTTTAAGCCCTTAGATCTTTCAGATGGCTCTCATTTCAGTGTTAGCAATGGAAATTCATGTTAATGAATGCTGCTGTGCTGATGAGCGCTTCAGAAATGCTAATGAATGCAGTGATGCACTGAGGCTCCTTCACCTTCACTGCTGGTCATTTTTACAGCTCTGTTACAAACCTACGCTTTTCTTTTGCAAAGTAGAGTCAGGGTTGAAACAACTTCTGATTAGAAGTCTGCATTCCGATTAAAATGTGGTATGGGTCGGTAATTCTGGTGCAATTTGAACTGGAGCGGGTGCTCTCACAATTTCCCGTTCCTGAGTCTCGACATTATTTCGGAACAGCATATCTGTGATTTCCTCTTTCTTATTGAGCTTCGGTACAGGCAGTACTCACAACTATTACACATGATGAACACGTGACCACTCCTTTCTGCATGTGCGCATCATCTGCAAAACGGTCCTCTGAGTGGGCTTTACCAAAATAAAGCAAACTGAAGATGCGCTGTACTTCAAAGAGGATTGCTTGCATTACAAAACGGTTGGTCTGATGTATGGGAGTCTTTTTCATTCGTCATATATATGCAAATGGAAAAAAAAAACCTTTGCACAATTTCATTATACCTCAAAGTTTTACCCTTTAACATTTTGTAAACCAGATTTAAATTTAGCGAGAACGGTCGGGTCAGGTAAAAAATTGTTCTAAGCTGGCTGTGGGTGAACAAAGTCTGAATATACAGTGGGAAAGGTCAGGTGTGGAAGAAAACCTCACAGGAGTGGGCAGGAACAAACAGTCTCGCGCAGACCTCTACTTCTTACAGACCAGCATCAGTCAGTGAAAAATTAGTGTAAACCTGTTGGTAAAAGAACACATCGAATACAGTTTGACATTATAATGCTTGCCTACAGTTAGTTTAAAACAATTCTGAATTAAACAGAGTGCTTTCAATGTCAAGTTGATTTAATTGCTGTTTTATTTCAACCAACATGCAGAGACAGAAACGAAGACAAAAGGACTATAGGATGGAGGGTCACTAAAGATTATTGAGTGCAACATGGCCACAGTGCATCTCTTAAAGTCCTTTAAAATATCTGATAATTAGATTTTTTTTATTGCAATATTTGTTCAGGTTATTGTAAAATGTATATTTCTTTAACTTTTTTTATTGTAAATAAAAAACAACAACAAAAATAACACTGCATAGATTGTTTATCCAAATCTGACAAATCAGTTGGGCATTTACTATACTCTCCAGTTGATGCTGTTAAGTGAACCTAGAGCTGAAGATAAATAGTTATTCTGGGAGACAAGAAAGGGAAATGACAATAGCCAAGTTATCGTTAAGAATCAAAATCTTTACTGAGTTTTTCAGTCATTTGTGGTGTTTTAAAGTCTAATAAAAAAAAATAATAATAAAGTTTTCATAAATTTAATTAGAACAAAAAAAGGTCTGTTGCCTGTTTATTTGAGTAGGATCATAACTTAAGATTGTATTGTGTAAGATGTAGGATCATACATAAATGATTTGATAAAAATGGTGATAAAATAATGTTTTTTAAAGTTAGGTATATCATAATTAATAATGTGGCAGCAACAATATCTAATTTTTTCCCAGTATTTTGCAGCCCTTATGTAAACTTTTTGCTCGTAGTCTGTACTGTGCATTTACACTGTGGTCATATTCATCTATGTAAACACAAGAAAACACATTATACCAAATTAGCCTTATACCAGACACTGTAAAAAGCTCATTCCCAGCAATTTCAGACAGGGTGTTCGAGTGTCATCGAGTGACAAAATGTTGTAGGACTACTATACAGGAGTTTTTATTAGGGATTACAGATAGCGGAATTTAGCGGTTTTTATTTTTTATTTTATTATTATTATTTTTTAAAGCTTCTCGGTAAAACATGAACACCATTATGAATATATTAAAACATATGATTGTTTGTTATAATAATTCATAATATTAACAAGAAATACTCATTTGTGCATCTCCTGACTACCGGGTGCAGCGTAGCTTGTGTATTCTGGGAAATTTTCTTACTTTTCGATTGTGGTCCTGAAAAATCTCTCTTTCTAGCAGTATCTTGTCCTTTCCCTTAGCCCTATGCCTTCCATCTAAAGAAAATTGGGACACCCCTACTCCTTCATGTAAACGCGCAAAACGAGAGGTAGGGGTAAGGGAAAGGGGAAGGGATCAGGGGTAGAATTAGGATTGGGCCTTTAAATCAGTCATTCAAACATGTTTTGGTATGTCCATCTTTTAAAATAATTTTTGATAACTGTATTGTAATTATGACAATTTTAAACTATTGCATAATCGTAATCTTAATTATGATTTTTTTCCATAACTGAGCAGCCCTAGGAGACGGTAATTTGCGATGAATTTGCAAATGTCTATAGAGTAATATAATTTAAAAAAGCACAACCACCTACCTATTACCATAGTACAATCATCATATTTTCCTTTAGACTTCCATCATGACATAAGTAAAAACAGATAGAGAAGAACAGGAAAGCGAAAGGGCTCCAGACTGAAGGGCAGTCACAGAGAGCGGCCTGTGTTATTGATGGCAGTCAGGGTGAGAGGGGTGGGAGAGGGTCACTGCGAGTCCCTGGCACGTCCGCTCCCCCGCTGCCCACCGCTGACACACCGGGCTCCAGTTTCAGCCCTCCACCCTCCGCCTGTTATTCTTCCACTTTGCAGAGGCCTGAGCCTCCTGACCCGCTGAGAGACTCCTCTCTGTCCCTGGAGGCAATGTTTTATTAGGCCACGGCTTGTGTTGTTCACAAATCTGCCCGGGGTGTAAATATGCTGTTTGGAGATCAGGTTCCTCCCCCGTCTGTGCCAAACCAGGGCAACATGGACAGATAAAGCACTGCTGATTCACAAACAAGACACTGAGATGGACAGAACAGCTTCAGCCTTTAATGAGGCTTGACAAACAGTAGCAGTAAGAGCAGGATACGTCTGATCTCCCATCAGCCCCTGTAATCATCAGATGCCCCGTGATAAGAAGCTGCGTTTGTGTATGTGTGTGCGCGTTTGTGTGTGTTTATCTAAGGATGGCTGTTCTTACATATGTAGAAACATGAGCTGGGGTGAAACTGACCCCCGCACCCTCTGCATGCGTGTCTTGTTAGATGTGTATCGTTTACAAATCAATTGCTGGTTGTTTTAGCGGGGGTGCTTTTAGATGCCGTGCTATATAGGATTTTCTGCTTCTTTTACACGCCGTGGTTAAGTTAGTTTAGCATTCAGTTGACACTTTCATGGCTTAACAACTGTGTTATTAAATCAGTGAAATTGATTTCACAGAGAAACAGTTGAGAAATGGGTAAGATATTCTCAGTTTTGATGGGATAGATCAGTTTCCACTCACATGTTGGAAGTCCAGTGTTGTCTGATTTTTATCACTATTATTAATAGCATGTTTGTGATGTAGGGCTGGGCCGATAAAATTATATCGATATTTATTGACCAAACACCATTGTCAAAAAAGGTTAGGGATGTAACGATTCACTTGACTCACGATTCGATTAGATTCACGATACTAATCTCACGATTTTTGATTTAGTCACGATTTTGAACAAAATTATTTAAAACAAATTTAAGATGAAAAGCCGTTTCATTTTTTTCTTAAATGCTGCACTTCTTGCGAAATATATTTTCTGCCATAACTAAATTGCAATTTAAAAAAACTAATTCCAGAAAAAAAAAATACTTTCTTAAGAACTAAAACAGTGACTGTGCTGTGATTTTTACATTTTTTTAAAAGATATCTCTGTTTTCTGGTATGAGCTGAGATCTTTGCACATTTACAATGTTGCTTACTGATGAGAAAACTCTTTCACTGGGGACTGAGATGGCTGGTGTGGAGAGGAAAGCCTTTACTAAATCAGAGAGCAGTGTGTACAGAGGTGGTCATTAGGCCCTCTGGCCACTGGCATAAAAAAAAAAAAAGATTTTAAAATTACTAATTATAAAGTAGAATAGAGACAGGAGTTGAACATGATTATGAAGGTGAATAATTAAGATTACTTTTATAATTAATTATTATATGTGCCATTGCGATACACTTAAAAAGAGGTAATCTTTTTTTTTTTTTTTAAATATTCAATAATTATAAGCAAATTATTAAAAAATGCATAAACTAATTTGAAAAGGAGAGGGTAAAATAATACCTTGTTCTGTAACAGAACAACTTTCTCTTTCAGTCTGAAACCCATCTTCACACTTTCGCTATTAAAATACAAATGTGTGACAGTAGTTTTTCACCTTGCTGATGGTTTATATGCATTATATTTGTTCTTCTTTTAGTGTATGTAAACATCTTTTTGCAGTATTTGTACACAGTTTGGTGCTCTTTACTGCTGTCATTTTACTCTGCTGCCCTGCCTCTTGCTCGCCGGTTATATGCATGTAATGCGATAACCACAGCACCCCCTCTGTTCAAAACGTATATTGTGATTCATTCAACATTTCTACTGGTTTGAATCGTCACATATTTGAATCGATTTTCAACCGACTCGCTGTGAATCGTTGCATCCCTAATAACGATTAAGTTTGTTATGAATTTTCGGTTTGAAGCACTGAAGCTTTATTAAAATGTAGTTGCACATGCCTTGGAAGCAATGGCGATAAGCTTAGGGTTATTTTTAATTAAGGCACACGGCTTAGTGATGCACTAGCATTTTCCAGGTGCACATAGTTGAAAACATTTAGAATTCCGCGTGCTCATCGCAATTCATGCTAGTTGAACTAACCAATCTGCTTCACACTTTATATGGAATATATACATTTCTGTAATAATGGCAGACTCAGACAAACATAGAACACCCAAACACTGCAGTGCTTTTTCATTCTCTTAATAAATATGAACTAGTATCCTAACTGTAGAAATGGTTTGTTTGTTTGTCATCCTTTGAGAAAATGATTGATGGTTGCCTAGTTATAAATGATGCCAGAGGAGCGCGAACACATAGCACATTGAAAATGATCAAGCAAACCGAATCCACACAATCACGCTTTTTACATGCTTTTAGATGCAACATGAGAATGGACTCTGGTTGGGTTTTGCCACCTTAGGTCAGAATAACAACACGCAAAAGTAAGTGTCATGACAAGGAGCAGTCAAGAGGTTGTAAATAAATAAAAAAAAGTCGTCAGAGTGACTTTTTGGTTTCTTTTCTTGTGCATCTCAGCCGTTAGCACCCCATCTAAAAGACTAGAAGCATAGGGGGTAATATAGTCATTCAACTTCACAATTTGTAATGTTCGATATGGATTTAAATAATGATGGCTGATTCCTTTACGTCAAAGCTCAAATTTGATTATCATAATTTGTTTTGTTAATCGAGATTGTAGTTTACTGTCTTATTTTGTAGACCCCTTTCAGATGTTGATCTACCTTAAAGTTTTCATTGATTGTTAAGCGTTTACACTTTATCATTGCACAGACTTTGTAACATTTTATTATTTATTTATTATTTTATTATTATTATATTATTTGGTTTGATTAATATTTAATTAAGAGACTTAATTTTTTTGTTTTTTTTGTTTTTGACTATTAAAACTATTTGCCTTAGTAATGTTGGTAAATTAAAATAAAATTGTTAAATACAAAATGCTAATATTCCTAAATGGATCATAAAGGAGCTATTAAATAATTATCAATAACGAACGATATTAAACATTGTATCGTGCTTTTTTTCCCTATCGCCCAGCCCTTTTATTTCATCTGAAATTGGATGTTTGTTATCTTTAGCATATGTTTGTATACTGAATATTTAAATGCTTTATTTTGTTGCAGTGTTTAGCTATTTATAGTTTATAGTTTAGCTATTTATAGTTTTGTTATAATATAAAAATAGGTATCATCTAATTGATAAATGTGTAATTTGTTTTCCGAAATTATGTTGTATATTCAGTTAAAAGCTTTCTCATTATTGAAAATAATTTAGGCAGAATAATGTAACGTTGGGTATGTGTCTATCTCTTAATAATCTCCAATGTGTTTTTGATATGCAGGCTGCTGAGCCACACCATGAAGGACCATCTGGTGCGTGTAGCTAATGAGGCCGAGTTCATTCTGAGCCGCCAGAGAGCAGAGGACATCCAAAAGCATGCCGAGTTTGAGGTGAGCACAATCTCATACTTGAACACACACACACACACACACACACTCACCGTCAGTCTACATGACTTCTAGTCTGCATTCAATGACACTCATAAAACTCTTAAAAGTTTGTAGTATAGTTAAAGACCCAATGAATAGAATTAATAGACACACTAGTAATTACTCTCACAAATGATCTCTAAAATCAGAACGACCTAAAATGAGAATAGTAACACTTTCTTCTGACTAGTAATTAGCAAATCATGGTTAACAGCTATGGCATAAAGCTGTGGTTCTCAAACTGTTTGCGGGCTTCCTTCTAGTGGTAAGCGAAGTAATACTTTTAACCCCTTGATGTGAGCGATTACACTGATGTGATCAACACCGGCTTTTCCCTGAAGCGTACAATTACATCGGTGTGCTTGAAATATTTACTTTTGTTCATTGCGTCATCAAATGCTAAAAATCAACCAGCGTTAGCGAGCCAGAGAAAGAGACGTGCGGCTAGGGTGCTTGCGAAGCATGATTCATGCTAGAGAAGCGCTTTTGCAGACCAGTGCTGTTGTGTTGGCATTTCAGTTACTGCTTACTCAGAAATTTCCCCATGCTGCATCGATGGTAAAATAATTATCACAAATGTGTTAAAGTGTGTTCGAAGTTGTGTAAAATAATGCATGTTGTTGATATATAAAGCTATTTGTTTTGCAAAGTAGCGTGCCTTTCGATTAATTTGTTATCTCAAATTTAGGCTAATTCATCTGGATATGATTCAAATGTCATGGGACACAAAACATAGACTCAAGCAACTCTGCCATGCATGAAGCTTAGATAAGATCTTAAATCACGAAAATTCCACACATATGAATGGATAAATCATGTATGAACTGGTCAAGCAGTGTATTTATGCATATAATCACTCACTTTTCTGACGCACTCTAAATGATGCGCAGTAAGCAGATCTAATTTCTTATTTAAATATGTAATTCCAAATTATTTACTTTAATATACAGGATAATGTTTAGATTTCAAAGATGTAAAAAATATGTTGTGTACCTGCAACATATTTCAAAATTTATCAAAAATGGTTTTAAATCAATATGATGACATATAGCCTATTTTATGAGGTCCAAGCAACATTTCCAGGTTTTGATGAATAGATTACTATTTGTTAATGCTTTACATTTAAGTACAGCAGTTTTCTTTTTACTTTAAGAACAGTCGCTTGCCATTTTTATTAACTTTTAAAGGCACATTTTTTTAACGTTGACCTTTTATTTTTACCTTTAAGCACAGTACAGTGTTAATGTTCAAACTATTTACAATGTTTAAAGTGGCTGACAATAATAAATATTCTTAATAGTAGGAACTATTTTGACCTCGTCATTATGGTGAAACTTGGACAATTTTATTCTGAGGTGGTATTGAATTAAAAAGGTTTGAGAACCACTGGCATAAACTATTGGTTATGAGCACTACTATTCCACATTTAAAATATAATAAAATATAGTTCATTCCTTTAATGATAAAGCCAGTTTGTCAGCATCCGTCACTCGATGTTCCACAATCCTTCAAAAATCATACTAAAATGCTCAAAAAAATTAGTTAAAAAGAGTTTCATTTAAAGTAGAATTATTTTGTAACCAAGTCCTCTTTACTTTAAGAAGTCTTTATTGTCAGTTTAAAGTATCCACGGTGAATAAAAATACTAATTAACTTACTGAACTCAAAAGCTGTGTAAATTATATGTGTACTAGTTTTTGGACCATTATCGTAAGTTATTTTGTTAGACAAGCTCCAGATTTGGCTTCAGTACTGACCAATCTAATGTATATGCACAAATATAATATTGTGTAGCTTCCTATTAAAAATATGAATTTAAAAGATTTGTAAGGGATGTACTTACAGTATATACAGTTGAAGTCAGAATTATCAGCCCCCTTAATTATAAGCCCCCCCTGTTTTTTTCCCCCTGAATTTCTGTTTATTGGAGAGATTTTTTCAACACATTTTTAAACATAATAGTTTTAATAACTCTTCTCTAATAACTGATTTATTTTATCTTTGCTATGATGACAGTAAATAATATTTGACTAGATATTTTTTCAACACACTTCTATACAGCTTAAAGTGACTTTTAAAGGCTTAACTGGATTAATAAGGTTAACTAGGCTGGTTAGGGTAATTAGGCAAATCATTGTACAACAGTGGTTTGTTCTGTCGACTATCAAAAAAATATAGCTTAAAGGGGCTAATAATTTTTGACCTCAAAATGGTGTTTAAAAAATTAGTACAGTAACTGCTTTTAATCTAGTTGAAATAAAACAAATAAGACTTTCTCCCGAAGCAAAGATATTATCAGATATACTGTGAACATTTCCTTGCTCTGTTAAACATTATTTGGGAAATATTTACAAAAGAAACAAAATTCAAAGGGGGGTGAATAATTCTGACTGTATATAATGAAATCCCCTTGATTGCATCGATACAGAAAAAAGCAAATCAAAACACAAGTCATTTCATGGGATCTTGAGGAGTTCTGCTACAGCTGAATGAAGCAATAGCTAAATATTCTTGACATATTGTACAAACAAGCCACTTTCACTTTATGCAGATGTATTCCGTTTCAGACCTGATTTACAATTTCAAAAAAGAAAAAAAAGTGGTTGTAAGATTTAATGAAATTGTTAAGCCCCTGTGAGGATATTAAAAAAGAGACAGTTTTGTCTGTCGGAACTGAGAGGCTGCCAACGTGACGGAGAACAAATGTTTTCTTTTCAAACACAACTTATATGCAGGTTTCAAGCTTTGGCTAGAGAGATTACGTTTGGCATGTATCTTACCAAAACATAGCTGCACAGTTGATTTATTCCTTATAGCGCAGCCATGGGGCATTCCTGCACCGCTGCCCCGCCAAACGCACACACATCACCTCTTTTATCGCTGCAGTCTTTCTTTCTCATTCCTTCCATCATTCTCCATTTCTGTCTACCTGCTTCTTTTTTCCCTTCACGATTCCCCTCGGACTCATGTTCTGCCTGTTATGCTCCCTTTGTGGGAGAATTTCAGCAGTGACAGGAATACAGCACCTTTCTCTGGATCCCCATCCATCCCTCCCTCTGCTAGTGTCTGGCACTGGTGCAGGATGTGACAGTGGAGAGGGGGAGTGGGATCTGCTCTGCTCTGTTCAACATCTCCCACCCTCCTGTTGTAAAATGGTGTGCTTTCAGAGAGGTTCAAGGCAGGGTCTCTGAACTGAGACTATGCGAGGAAAACATTTGAAGGACAGGATTAAAAGGAAATGTTAAATCAGAGAAAGAAATTGTGTATTGAGCGATTTTGCAGTGGTCTGTATATGATTGGAGTCTTGCACTTATTTTAGTTGTTTGCAGCCAATGGCTTGTTGTTTTCAGGAAGCAAATGAGTTCTGAGTCTCTAACTTGATCAGTCTGAGTAAAAAAGGCTAATTTCAAAATATAGCAGATCATACAGTTGAATTATTAGCCTTTTATATTTTAGTTATTGTATATATTTTTTTCCACAATTTCTCTTTAATAGAGATTTTTTTCAACACATTTCTAAAAATAATAGATTTAAAAACTAATTTCTTGCACAGTAACTGATTACTGTTATCTTTGCCATGATGACAGGAAATGATATTTTACTAGACATTATTTAATCTTGTAGTATAGGTTGTCCGCAGTCTTAAAATGTCTTAAATCTCAGAAACAGCTTTAAAAAGGCTTCAATTTACTGTCATTTTGTGTTTTAGGTCTTAAATATTTTTAAACAGGTCTTAATTTTCCTATGTTCATGTATAGCTAAATCTGGCCAACACCTATGTAATCACCAACAATCCATCTGAATAAAACTTTTAATTAAAAACACCACAATGGTTTAATTATTTTCCTTGCAATAAGATTGTTTATGTATTTACTGCTGTGGACACTGACTTGGACAGGCTGTTGTGTGCATACATTTAGTTTATCATAGTTTTAAAACTTTTAAAACATCACCAAACATAATGACAAACAAGACACTTTTTGGTTACACTGTATTTTAGGGTAGGATATTAGTTTAATAAATGAGTAATATTTGTTAATTACATGTACTTACTGTATGGTTGTGGTTAGAGTGTGGTGGGTAGCTTTAGGGTTAGTGAGATGTAACTGTGCATAATTCATTGTAATTATAGTAAGTGCATCAAACGTTACTGTGTCACCTTATATTACTAACCTTATAATACTTTTATCATATATATATGTATATATATATATGTGTGTGTGTGTGTGTGTGTGTGTGTGTGTGTGTATGTATGTGTGTATATGTATGTGTGTGTGTGTGTGTGTATGTGTATGTATGTATGTATATATATATATATATATGTGTGTGTGTGTGTGTGTGTGTGTGTGTGTGTGTGTGTGTGTGTGTGTGTGTGTGTGTGTGTGTGTGTGTATATATATATCGCTATATATAATTTTTTAAAAACTATTTTTGGGACAAAATTATTAGCCCCTTTAAGCTAATTTTGTTTCGATATTCTACAGAACAAACCATCATTATAGAATAACTTGCCTAATTACCCTAACCTGCCTAGTTAACCTTATTAACCTAGTTAAGCCTTTAAAAGTCACTTTAAGCTGTACAGAAGTGTCTTGAAAAATATCAAGTAAAATATCATTTACTGTCATCATGGCAAAGATAAAATAAATCAGTTGTTAGAAATAAGTTTTTAAAACTAGTATGCTTAGAAATGTGCTGAAACAATCTTCCCTCCATTAAACAGCAATTGCGGAAAAAAATAAACAGGGGCACTAATAATTCAGGGGGGCTAATAATTCTGACTTCAACTGTATACATAATTATTATTATTTATTATTATTTATTTTTTTAAACAATGAATGTAGTTAGAAAGATACTGACCTAACATTTATAAAAGATTAATGGTTAAAAAGTTCCTGGTATATGATACAAATTATTTACTTTTAATATATTTTTAAAAACTTTAAAAAACGATTATTTAA